ATACCAATATCTATCCACATCCAGGGTATACGCCTACAACAACCCTTGGCATATACACAACTCAACCACACTCTAATAGTAAAGACGCATATCACTCACATAGTCTGCATATATACCAATACCTATTCACATCCAGGGCATGCGCCTACAACCCTAACCACATACCTACCTGATTCACAAACCCTAGTCCCAGTTGTCCGTAACGATTGGACCCCATGACCAGTACTTCGGCCCGTTGCGTCAAGAGCAGTATATGACTCAGACCACAAGCCAAGTCAGTGATACTTGCGCTGGTTACCACCTTTGTGAAGTGCGCTTCTGCGAAGAGAAAGAAGCGTGACTGTGCGATTATATGCTTGTGACTGTGGGAATAGATGCTTGTGACTGTGGGAATATATGCTTGTGACTGTGTGAATATATGCTTGTGACTGTACGAATATACGCATGTGACTGTGCGAATATATGCTTGTGACTATGCGAATATACGCTTCTGACTGTGCGAGTATATGCTTGTGTCTGTGCGAATATATGCTTGTGACTGTGTGAATATATGCTTGTGACTATGCGAATATACGCTTTTGACTGTGTGAATATATGCTAGTGACTGTGTAAATATATGCTTGTGACGGTGTGAATATATGCTTGTGACTACACGAATATACGCTTCTGACTGTGCGAATATATGCTTGTGATTGTGCGAATATATGCTTGTGACTGTGCGAATATATGCTTGTGACTATGCGAATATACGCTTCTGACTGTGCGAATATATGCTTGTGATTGTGCGAATATATGCTTGTGACTGTGTGAATATATGCTTGTGACTGTGAGAATATATGCTAATGACTGTGTAAATATATGCTTGTGACTGTGTGAATATATGCTTGTGACTGTGCGAATATATGCTGTACGTGTTGGCATGTATATCTATGCGATTGATGTACGTAGTCACACGCGTAGTATGACATGCCAATTCATACAGCGGTGTGGGCCATCAAATCGATCGATTTCAACTGACTGTGCGTGCCGAACCGTGTTCCTTGACGTCATTGTGATATGCTCCATGGTAGGCACTGCCACCCAAGGTGACCCAAGGTGACCCAAGCCGCTCAATGGGGTGTGTTGTGTTAGGTTGGGTTGGGTTGTATTGTGTTGTGTTGTGTTGTGTTGTGTTGTGTTGTGTTGTATTGTGTTGTGTTGTGTTGTGTTGTGTCGTGTTGTGTCATGTCGTGTTGTTATGTGTTGTGCTGTGCTGTGTTG